CGTACGACTGAAAGGTCCATTTCCCACAACATAGCGAAGTTTAGGAAGCTTAACCTATTGCGTTTCGAAGGTGGTCCTGATCCCTTAGTAGCTGAAGCCTAGATCCTACAGATAGAGAAGTTTTTCTCTGTTCTAGACCTGATTGAGAAACAAAAGGTTCCCCTAGCAACTTTTATGCTCAATGGTGAAGCCGAACACTAGTGACAACTTAAGAAAGAAGTCCTACCAACCCCTACCACCTAGAAGTTTTCATGGATACATTCTTTGATAACTTTTTCCCTGCTTATGTTCGAGAAAAGAAGGAAGAGGAATTTTAAGACCTCCACCGAGAAAATCTAACGGTTGCCCAGTATGCAGCCCGTTTTGTCCAACTGTCTAGGTTCGCCCATCTAATGGTCACCCTCGAAAGTCAAAAAGTTAGGAAGTTTCTAAAGGATCTTCGTACCGGCATCTATGATTGGGTCGTGATGCTTAGACCTATCTCATATGCGGAGGTGCTAGAACATGCCCAGTTGGCTGAAGACCTCATCTTAGCCAAACACTAATGCATTGCCCAAATATATACCCAACAACAACAACCCTAACAACTTAGAAGGAGATTGCCTGACCCAGTAAGTAGCCACCCTGATAAACGAACCAGAGTTTCCCTTCTCCTTGCCTTGCCTCCCCTTATAGGTCAACCTACTTGACCTACCCAGCCCTGTCAGCATTGTGGTTGCTTGCATGGTGACCTACCCTATCGGCATATCAATCACGCTTGCTATCAGTACAGAAGCATCCAACATCTTATAAAAGACTGCCCCCAGTGATCGAAGGACGTGGCCAGGCCTATAGCACAAGATCGTGTGTACAACTTAGATTAACTCGGTGCTCTCCCCACTCATGTTCTCATCATGGGTATATTTTTTATTCATGATACTTCTGCTAAGGCTTTCATCGATATAGATGCCATTCACTCTTTTATTTATGGTGCATTTATTTGTAAGCTTGGCAGTAGGTGATAACCTTTAGCTAAAATATTAACAGTAGAAACTCCCTCTAGGGGATTATTAGAAGCTCACTATGTATATAAAGATTGTAAGATAAAAGCTTAAGTGATAGAAGTATTTGTGAATCTAATATTGTTAAATTTTTTAGGATTTGATGTGATATTAGGAATGGACTGGTTAGAAAAGTATAGAGCAATAATCAATTGTGAAAGTAAAATTATAACTTTACAATCCCAAAAAAAGAATAAAATTTATTATTATTATTTTTCCTAATAATTGAATAAACAGGATTATAGGTACTGATCTTGTTGTGTGTTCCAAACTGATTATTTGCAACTTTTTGGATATCTTTCCCATCAAACTTCCTGGTCTGCCTTCCCCACGAAAAGTAGAGTTATTAATTGAATTATTGCCCAGAACCCAGCCAATCTCGAATCCTACCTATCATATGAGTCGTGCTTAACTTGCAAAACTAGAAAATCAGCCTTATGAACTAATTACCTGGAAATTTATCTGCCCTAGTCATTCTCCTTGTGGTGCTCCAGTACTGTTCGTAAAAAAAAAGGATGGTTCCCTCAGACTCTATGTGGATTATCGAGAACTCAACTGAGTAACAGTTAAAAGTAAGTACCCCTTACCTCGGATTGACAACCTCTTTGATCAATTACAAAAAGGCATGGTCTTCTCCAAGATTGACCTCAAGATGGGATATCACCAGATGAGAGTCAAAGAAGAAGATAATCCAAAGTCTTTTTTTTGGTGCAAGTACAATTTGTACGAGTTCAGGGTAATGTCGTTTGGGTTAACCAATGCCCCTGTAGCCTTCATGGATCTCATGAATAGAGTTTTCTAACATTCACTAGATTAATACATCATCATATTTATTGATGACATCTTAATGTACTCTAGGAGCCTGGAGGAACATGTAGTACACTTGACGAAAGTGTTGGAGACCCTTCGCCGAAAACAACTGTATGTTAATCTTAGCAAATGCTCTTTCTAGTTGGATCAAGTTTCCTTCTTTAGTCATGTAATTTCAAGTGAAGGAGTTTCTATGGATCCGTCCAAGGTTGAAATAGTAGTCAACTAGAATCTGCCCACCAATGTGGTCGAGGTACGTAGTTTCCTTAGCTTGATAGGTTACTATAGGCGATTCATCGATAAATTTACTAAGATTGTTGATCCATTGATCCGACTCACCTTAAAGGGCATACCATTTCATTACGAATGCGATGAAAGTTTCATGGAATTGAAGCATCATCTTACCTCTGCTCTTGTGTTAATCCTCCCTAAAGCTATTGGAAGATTTCAAGTCTACTGCGATGCATCTTATATTTTCTTGGGGTGTATCTTGATCCAGCATGATGGAGTAATTGCTTATGAGTCCTGACAGTTGAAACCTCATGACTAAAACTACCCTATCCATGACTTGGAGTTGGCGGCCATTATCTTTGCCCTAAAAATATGGCGTCATTACCTGTTTGGTCAGACTTTCGAGATTTACACTGAACACAAGAGTTTGAAGTATCTTCTCACAGAGAGAGCTAAATATAAGACAAAGACGTTGGATGGATATCTTAAAGGACTATGACTACAAGATCGTCTACCAACCCAGTAGAGGAAATATAGTCACCGATGCACTAAGCCAAAAGGAGTCTGCGGTGTTGGCCAAACCATGGCCTCTAGTTGGAACTTGATGGATATTATGTAGTAGCTCTGCCTTAGCTCCTATGGCAAGGGCGCCTATCTCACTCAGATCTGAGGCCTACTGGATCTCTTCATAAAAAGTTAGAAAGCTCAGTCTATAGACCCGGAACTCACCAAAAATCTAGGTAAGTTCTCTTCTAATGAATTTCCTTATTTCAGGATTTAAGATAATGGACTGTTTAGATTTTGGAACTGAATTTGGGTTTCCATCGCAGTAGGGGCAAATGTTCTCAAGATCGCCCATGCTTCCAAGCTATCCATCCATCCTAGGAGGATGGAAGAATGAAATGGAAGAGAGGGGTCCCTATTTATAGAAAATAGGGATCGTTAGATTTGCATGAAGTGGCAAAATCGGTGAGGAGAGAGAAAATTGAGTGAGAAAAGAGTGATGTGACGTGATCCGATGGTGGCATAAAAAAATAGAGAAAGAACCTCCTAACCGATAGTGACACACCACCCAAGACAGTAGCAACACACTATCCAAGGTAGTGCATGACACCCAAGGAGCGACGACACACTACTTGAGGCAGCGGCATGCCTTCCCAAGTCAGCTACATGCTGCAGGCCTAGCCTGCAGGCACACTGGCCTATCCTGTCATGTGTAGGGCCTATAGCGTATAGACCTACTGTGCAAACGACGCGTGTATAGGGCGCATGGCATTGCACCAATCTGCCTGCGATGGGTCACGCGCGCATATTGGCCTCGTGCCCCCCACAGATGGGATGTGCACACATCTCGCACGTCCTATGCTGGCTGAACGCACACACGCGCACGCAGCGTGCGATGCCTGCGAGGGCAGGTTTTTCCGCGGGCATTTTCTCGTAGGATTCCACCCCTTTTTCTGTCTTTTCTCCTGATAATTTACTTTTGAAAATAAAATAAAACAAAATAAACAAAATATAACAAAAATTCATTAAAAAAAAATTCAAAATAAAATTAAAACACGAATTAAATTTTATAGAATGCACTATAAAAATTTTGAGATAATTTAAAGAGTTCAAGTGGCCTTAGGGCCCGAGTAAATAGGGGTTTCTAAATACAAATTAAGTGCGAATGTTAGTGGGGTGTTACAGTTGATTTCAACACAAAAGAGTTTTTTTTAATGATCAAAGTGAAGGGAGAAGATGAAAAGAGAGTGTGGAATCTGCTTATGAAGCTCTGTGTAGTGTCGAGAAGAAGAATGATGATAAACCTACTTGGCAACTGCCATCATTATAGAAAAGGGGCTAAGGTTTTTCTCTTATGATGATTAGAATCCTTTTCATTGATTTTTGGCTTATCCCAAGTTTTTCATAATATTTTTTCCTTGATTTTTTGCCTAAGATCTTGGCTAGAATGATATCTTTTTTCATATTTAAAAAGTGCACATTTAAGTTTAAATCTGCTGCTGTGTGGGACTCTTAAACTTGCCTAAAGCTAAGCTTTCTATTTGCTAGACCCAAGCGTTGCCCAAAGCTTGTTTCTGGGCTGATGACTCTTTTCACAAACTCTTCCTCTTTTCATGATGTTTTTCCTCGTTTCGTTCTTATATCACGTCCTATAATAAAACATAGAAAACAGCTTGGATTAGATAGGATACCATCAAGTTTAACAAACTAAAAGTGGGTGATAACGATGTCATTTTTAGGCACTATCTAGTTGTGCCTTGCTCTCCCTTAATATGGTCGAGCCTTTTTAAGCTCACATAGTGTAACAGTCAACTGTGTGCTACCGTATACCTTTGTTTAATAAAATTTTTTTAGTCATATGATTTTTTCACTGATAAATACATTCTCTAATTTAAATAAAGAGAAATTAAAATAGATTAACAATTTTATTTTAATTTTTCAAGAACTTATAAAATTTTAATGAAAGAAATATTCTCAATAATGATATTCTGAAAGAAATTGTAATTCTATTCCCTAAATTGTTAATATTTTAAATGAATTGAATAATAATAAATAAAGTATACATTTATATATGTGAATTAAACTAAATTTTTATAGATGTGGGTATGAATAAATAAACATATGTATAAATTCTTTTAGTTCTTATAGATGTAGGTATGTATAAGTAAACGTATGTATCAATACATAAATTAAATGAATAAATATATATGTATAAATATATAAACATAGGAATAAATATATAGATGTTTGTATGTTTATATATATATAATTATATATGTATAATATAAATCTAAACCAAACAACCACTAACACCACAATTGTGGCCATAACCGAGCCACATGGTGGGCTGTTGTGAGGACCGGCCCGGTGTCAAGAAAAAATTTGGCCTTTCATGATAGCTTGGTTGGCCGCCGAAAGCACCAACGACTGTGATGTTGTACATGCATTTGGACGGTCAGATGGTGGGCCAAATTTAGTTAAAAGCTTCCTTCTCTTCACAACTTCGTCTTCATCTTCTTCAAATCCAAAATTCCAATTAAACAAGTGAGTGAGAGGGGAGGTTGAGAGCAGAAAATAGTAGAGAGAGAAAGAGTGTGTGTGTGTGTGTGACGCACCAGAATAGAGTACACGTTGTGTGTGTATAACAGAGAGAAGAAACTTTTTCTTCTCTCCGAGGTAAGTTAGTTCTTCTTCTTCTGAATTGTTTTATTTGTCTCTTTAATGTCTTACAATCACTTCTACACAAAAATGCAGCTCTCAAATTGTAGCAGCAAGCTCTAGAACCCAAAACTGTTGCTGCTGCTGCACCTGAATGACACCTCTATTCAGGTAAGTATCTGTTCTTTGCCCAATTCCACTTATGTTTTGTGTTTCCATTTAAAAACTCATAGTTAATCACCAAGATAATATGGTAGGATTGTTAGGATTTTATTTCTGAAAGTAAAAATACTTTAAACTCAAAATCATCACTCTGCTCTGCAAGCACATCTACTGTGAGTTGCAGAGAAGAATCTTGAATTTCCAGCGTTTTCTTCATGCGATTTAGCTTCTGTCTCGTCGGTTTAACGGGAAAGATTGGTAGAAATTATATTGATGCATGATTTGAGATTTTTAGATACATATGACGATTAAACTGCTTGAATTAATTTGGTGATGTTACATGTGTTAAGCTAATGTGTGTGTCTCTCAGAAATGTGATTTTTACAAATTATAATTATATTTTTTATGCATGAATGAATAGAGTGAATGGGTGTTGGTGATTGATGCTTAGAAAATAAAGAAAGTAGAAAAAAATTTCAAGGAATTGAATAGAATGGTTCTGTCACAAGCATGCGGCACCAAGGTGCTGCTACTACTGGGCGTGTGTGCTGTCCTGCAGCTTACGAGCATGCGTGGGGTGTTTTTGGATTCCCAGAATAGTTCAAAAATGCCCCTCAGGCACTGCCTGAGTTAAAAGAAAAAAGAAATTTGTAAAATTTGGGATTATGAAAATTATTTTAGATAAAATGGGTCATTAGTAAAGATGAATGGTTTAAATTCAAATGGAAAGATAAAAACTAAATCACTTAATAAATAGTTAAATTCTCTTAGTAATATTAGGACTTAAATATAAAAAATAAGGAAATTTACAAGTTATAAAATAAACCAAATATTGAGAAGAATTAAGATTTTAATTTTCTCGAATTATAATCAAATTTATGAATTTAGGGAAAGATAATGAAGTATAAGAATTTAATAATAAAATAAAAGTAAAAATTTAAATAACATAGAATATGGTTTAAATTTGATTCACCGTATTTTCTTTAAGGGGTATTTGATTTGCTTATTTGTTCAGGAGCCACTATGTTATGGGTGTTGGTTCCTTAATGGGACATGTAGTTCGGTTGTCCTTAGGGACTCTGGGCAATTTGATATTCATGTTCTGGGGGCGACATGGAGAGATTTGAGAGAATTGCATTTGTATTTTTATCTGTAATTGTATATTTGTGAGCATTTGCACACCCACCCATGACTCGTTAGTATCCCATTTGTGCTCTTTGAAAATATGTGTAAGCGATTACCCGCGTAAATTTGTAATCAGTGGAATTTAAATTAAAATAATAATTGTAGTAAAACTATGTCAAAAAACGAGTTTGGTTTTGGGTGCGTGAGTTATGTAAACCCATCGAGTACAGTATTGAGCGTCTTTGTAATAGTTTATATGATATGAACATTTGACTTGGATATGAATATTGGTTATGGGATTTGACTATGGCATTTGATTTGATGTGGTAATTAAATAGGAAACTCTTGTTTTTCAAGTATGCATCAATGAAGGTTTTGAAACGTATTTGTGTTGCATTATTTCATTCTATCTTACTAAGCATTAGAACTCACCCAAATCTAACCCTCCCCTCAGATGCATATTAGAGGAAAACACTGGAGAGCCCTGTTTAGATTCCCTTCGGGAAGTGTAGCTTGGAGCAGACTCCATATTTTTTTTTATACTTGAGACTAGTATTTTATAACTAGGTTATCTCTTATTTTGTGTTTTGAAATGTAGATACCCTATTGGGCCTCAGTATATAGTCTTTTATAAACTTTGTATGGGATGTATAGTTCTGTTGCAAAGTAAATATTTATATTATGTCTGCTCTATAGCATGTTGGTGCCCGTATTTGGCATCAAGACCTCACACATTGCCATGAATTCCTTTGTGGCCATGAACTCTTAAGCTTATGCAGCCATGATCTCTCATGTGGCCATTAGCTTTTATGTTTCTTTGAGCTTTCATGTGGCCTATGATGATTTATGCCATCTTGATCTCTATCGATGTCTTCCTAATCATGTCTATAACTCATTGAAACCTTATATAGTTTAAAGTAGTCCCTAAGCTTGGTTAAACTTCTTAGTAAATTCTTCTTAACAAAGGGATTCTCAAGAGAAAAAGTGGATAACATATTATTCATAAAGATCAATGGAGATGATATTTTAGTTGTAGAGATAAAAGATTTTTTCAATCACATTATGTGCTGAAATGTTTTGTGATTTATTAAGATATGTTGTTCTCTGAATTACATCAAGCTATATGATAAAAATTCTCTTATAAAATCATTACATGTGATGTGTTGAGAAATGTAATCATTTAAACCACATAAGATAATATGCTGGAAGTGCGATTTTGCAAAACACATAAGGTATTCTAATCATTCATATTAAATTTGATGCACTTAATAAATAGAAGTTAAAATGACATTTTTGAAAAACTAATTAGATTTTGGACTATGGATCATATGAAAAGATGTTAAGTTTCTTAGTTTTTACTTTTAAGAATCTTGTTTGAGTTGGTGAATAATGAATTTGATTCCTTTCTAAGATTCTGGACGTACTTCCTTATTAACTTTCTAACAATTGATTATCATTTTTAAATTCAAGAAAGTTGAGAAACCTGGATAACTAATCACTTATAAAGATTCTTGATTATTATATTTTTAATAATACAAATAAAAAATAATTATGATAATATGTGTGATAAACAACTATGAAGAAGGTCTAATATTTGATATTCGGTACTTGACAATTATGAACTTGAAAAGATTATATGTTTATATGTAATGACCCAGATTTTCTCTAGACAAAGTTTTCATATTTTATTTGGCTATTTAAGCATGTATATGTATGCAGAGAGATGTAATAAAGTTAGAGACTAAGTTTCAGGACAAATGGGCAACGATGATGAAATTAGGGTAAAAGGAACCCCTCAAAAAGAGAACTTTCTCTCAAGGAGGAAACTGGGTTCTCTAGGCCTAGGAACACTTCTCAGAACTAGAACAACATTGTAGAAGCTAAGAAAATGCTTCAAGAATATGAGAGAGTAATTGGATTAATAATCAGGGTAGAAATCTCCCATGTGAGGGAGGAAATCCCCCAAGAAGTCTTAATTGACCCTTTGGGCTTAATTTATGTCCCGAGATCAAAATACACAAAATTGGACACTCAATATTGGCTGAGGACTAGCCAAGATATTAAGGAAGATGGGTGTGGAAAATGAAAAATTTCCATAGAAGCAAATTTGGGAGATATGTGGTCAAACCCTGAGGCATGCACATGAAGGATAGTTTTAACCATTTAGGAATGTTTGGACCATAAGTGGGACAAATGGACTCAGAAGAAGCCCAAACAAAAATCATGTGATAGTTGCCTATGTGAGGAACATGTGAAGCACAAGGTCGCCCAAAACGATTTAGCATTAAGCAAGTTATGGAGTTTTGAAATAAAAGTATAGGCATGGGCCGAGCTTTGTTTGCGATTTGGACCTTAGATGGGCCAAATGTGGTCGGTTTAAGCCCAAATTTGGTTAGTAAGTAGCTGAAACTAAGGAACATAAGCGAAGCTAAAATGAGCCATAAATGCATAAGAATTGATGGAGTTATGGCTTTTTAAAATGAAGGCATGTGGATGGAGTGCAGTTTTGGGCCCCATAGATTTAGATAAGCCTAAGGCAGCAAAAAACATATCGAATGGAGCCGAAATTTGGTATGGAAGCTTTCGTAAGTGGATAAGACATGGAAGGAGTCTGGATAAGCATGGATTTCCCTCCTTTATAAATAGGGGTGTAGGGAGATGGGAAAAGCATTATGGAGTTGAAAGTAAGAAAGGTCAGAGAGAGAAAGAAGAGAGAGAAAGAGAAGAGGAAAAAAGAGAGGGAAAGAGAAAAAACCTAATAAAAGTGAGGAAAATTGATGGAATTTGGGAGATTTTCTTTGGGAAAACTCTACCTAAATTGTGAGAGGAAGAGAGAGGAAGGAAGAAGGAAAGGAGAAAAAAAAAGAAATAAGAGAAAAAGAGAATGAAAGCTCACAGCCAACCAAGGGAGAACCCGTGAGCTTAAGATATTGCACAAAAAAATCCCAGAACTCTGCCAGATTTTTTAGAGAAAATGCTTAAAAATTAAGACGATACTCTGCTGGAGTTAAAGCAACACGTCCGATAAGAAAATTGATGAAAATATAAGGGGAGATTATGCTCCAGTGAAAAGAGAAAATTGAAGAATTTTTAAGGGAAGACTCTAACAGAGTGACTACAAAAAATTGAGAAAAATATAGTAGGAGATTCTGTTAGAATAGCGAAAGCTTAAATTGATTGTATTGGACTCAAGGTAAGTAGATGTTGTGATTACATGGCCTATGTAATTTTCAAGTAGTTTTTACTATTTTATACATATTTTCATCTATAAAGTGCAAGTGCTTTGCAAAAGTGATATTGTGTTTTAAACGTTATTTTACGCATATATTATGAAAAGTTATTATGATAAGTGTGCATCACTCGTTATCAAGGTGAGCCATTCCAAAACTACCTGCATGATGCTAGACTTCAATGTGCTCCTACATAACTATTCCATTTTTCTGTGTAGTGGGGAGATTATGCTCCAGTGAAAAGAGAAAATTGAAGAATTTTTAAGGGAAGGCTCTAACAGAGTGACTACAAAAAATTGAGGAAAATATAATAGGAGATTCGGTTAGAATAGCAAAAGCTTAAATTGATTGTATTGGACTCAAGGTAAGTAGATGTTGTGATTACATGGCCTATGTAATTTTCAAGTAGTTTTTACTATTTTATACATATTTTCATCTATAAAGTGCAAGTGCTTTGCAAAAGTGATATTGTGTTTTAAACGTTATTTTACGCATATATTATGAAAAGTTATTATGATAAGTGTGCATCACTCGTTATCAAGGTGAGCCATTCCAAAACTACCTGCATGATGCTAGACTTCAATGTGCTCCTACATAACTATTCCATTTTTCTGTGTAGAGGGGAGATTATGCTCCAGTGAAAAGAGAAAATTGAAGAATTTTTAAGGGAAGACTCTAACAGAGTGACTACAAAAAATTGAGGAAAATATAATAGGAGATTCGGTTAGAATAGCAAAAGCTTAAATTGATTGTATTGGACTCAAGGTAAGTAGATGTTGTGATTACATGGCCTATGTAATTTTCAAGTAGTTTTTACTATTTTATACATATTTTCATCTATAAAGTGCAAGTGCTTTGCAAAAGTGATATTGTGTTTTAAACGTTATTTTACGCATATATTATGAAAAGTTATTATGATAAGTGTGTATCACTCGTTATCAAGGTGAGCCATTCCAAAACTACCTGCATGATGCTAGACTTCAATGTGCTCCTATGTAGTGGGAAAGTGATAAGTGTGTGCCCATACATAACCGTTTCGTTTTTAAGTGTACGGGGAAGTGTTAAGTGTTCAATGTGTGGCTAAGCATGCATGGTAGTAGGAAGATGTGAATGGCCCTCCATAATAGTGATAAAATAGATCTCATTTTACAATGTAGTGAAGTGCATCTGTTTTCTAATTCTGGGAATGTGGCTCATTGTATAATGTGGCGCACTGTACATGCTGAGTGATCTGGTACATGTAAGAGTGTAGCACATTGCACAATGCAAAAATGTGTTTTCTGAATCATGATTTTGATTTTAGTTTTTGAATGTGCATATGTTTTTAGTGAAAGTGAATATGTTTTCAAGAAAAGTATATCAAATACATATGTTTTGATGTGTGTGAAAGCTATATATATTGCATGTATTAGTTATGTTGTCTTAATATCTACTTACTAGAATAATGTATCTCACTCCCCCATTATTTTTAAATAATGAGGATTTTGCTGCAGAATAGTATGTGATAAAAAAGATAAGTTGAGAAATTAGAGATCAGGTTACCAGTTTGTGCCTTTGTATTGTAATAGAAGAAAACTTTTGGAGCCTTGTATTGTTTTATAGCTGATGTACATTATTTAAGGGATATAACATTTTTGCATACTCTGTATATTAATGAAAGTTAATTTTTGTTATATGTAAGTGTGCTCCGAACACGCCCCAAGAAGAAGAGGGGTTGGGCTGCGATAGGTGGTATCAAAGCACGGTTCTAGGACACCCATTGAATACAAGGTTTAAGGTTATACATAACCTAAAAGTGTAGTGGAACTTAGAATGAGTATAGTAAAATATAGTAAGAACCCTCTCTTAACCCTAAAGTATTCAAGAGTTGGAAATAGTGAGACCAAGGAGAGAGCCTACATAAAAGGTCCAAAAGATAGG